TGTCTAGGGTTAGAACTCTGTTTATGCCCTGTTCCTTCATCCATTGGCTCCAATAAACCACCAGATTAAGGGGGTGAGAACAGTCTGTGCCAGGCAACCTGAGCGGAAATAAGGACTCTTCCAAGAGACTAAGTTCCCCAAAGGCAAGGGCCAGTCCTTCCTATTCCTAAGGCCTTAGCCTTGCCAGGAATTCTTGGTCCAGAATTCCCAGAGCCCTGGGAAAATCTCGGTGTCTCCAACCTGGAGAGCTGTGCCAGATGTGACCATACCAGCCAGCACTCCATATGGCCCGGGACAAAAAGCCCTCCCTGCCCCATTCTGGCCCAGCCCCTTCCACAGCCTGCGCAGGAGCCATGTGGCACACAGACTACAGCTTCCCACCAGTGCTGCTTTAGTTTGCCTCCTTTATTTTACCAAAAATAACAATAAAGTCTTCCCTCTGCTTCACAAAAATAGATTTCCCCCCTCCCTCCCCACCCTTCACCCCCTTCTACAATCAGCACTGGCCACAGCTTAGAATTCATTTTTCCAATCCATAGTCCTCCCTGGGGGGGATCTTTGACACCCTTACTCCAGAGCCTTTGGCAAAACTCCTGGGCCAGTTGGTTCTCTTGGAACTTCTCTGGAGGCAGCAGTCCCCAGGTCCAGCTGGCTGGCTTCAGGAGCTTCATCTGCTTCCCCAGAGATCAGGCAGCTGCTGGGCCACGAAGAGGGGTTTGACTTTGGAGGCTGGGCTCAATAGATAACCCTAGCAGACCTGAAGAAAAGTGGGGCATGTTGGCATCAGGCTAGAAATCCTTGCTCAAAGCAGGAACAGTTGTGTCCTGGAGAGGGGCTGTCAAACCCCCTATCTACGTGCTTCTCATTTCCCTCTGTAGCAAGCCACAGGCCATGGGGGAACCTGGTTTCTACTCCAGCTCCACAAAGCCTTGAGGTGAAGTCTAGGATAGTTTCTCCCTCATTTCCTCCTGGCTTCAGTTTCCTCCTATGTACGTGGAAGATTCTGTGAGACTAGATGATCCTCACGTCTTTTCTGGCTCTCCATCCCGGCCTGCCAGCATGGAGTCTCTGGGAGGAAAGGGCTTTGTTCCTGCCTCAATTTCCCCACCTTCGGGTGTGGGCACAGAGCTAGGCATTAAGGTGCTGAGTAATGGTGTACTGAATGAACATCCCAGTTTCTCTGTGAACAGCTATGCTCTGAGAGACAACCAGCTTCTATGTCTTGAGATGGTTGGGAAGAAGGCAAGTACTTGCAGGATGGGGGCTCTCCAAGCCTGGAAGAGTCCATTCACCATTCACATGGTCCTTAATGTGCCAGGATGGGAGACAAGACTTGAGTTTCCCAATTCAAGTTCCACTAGATCGTTGGGTTGGATGGTTATACTCTGCTAGGCTTCAGATCCTGGGAGCCAGGTCTATATAAATCCTAGAGCTAGACTGGAGCATATGATTCCCAATTTAAGGACCAGAGGACCATTGTGGGTGTGAGGGTTCACCCCGAACCTCCAAGAGACTGTCTATAATCTGGCCTTTCTGGAGGCTGGGGAATGAGTGAAATGATGGCTGATGAACATCTCTGGGTGAGCTATCAGAACCTGTGCCTGTGGTGGGCCAGGGATTTCAGTACCCAGAGCAAGGTCCCCCTTCCCACCTCCCCACAACTCCCCAGAATTCATGCTGATGGAAGAAGGTAGCTTAGAAGGTTCAAACATGGAGCTGTATATATCTGGAACCACAATTTGCACACTTGCAGACACTGTGGGACACAACGATTGGGGACAGTGAACTGTCATTACTCCTACAGTGGTCATGGTCTGATGGTCCCAAGCCCTCCTCCCTCCCATCCTTGTTCCTTTGTTCCTTCCACCCACCCATCCATTTGCCTAACATTTATGAGGTCCCCCTAGGTGCCAGGGAGAGTCTAAGGTGGCTAATTCTCACAGACACACTCCATAGTCAAAATCACACACACTCACACACACATAGTCATCTGTGCTCACTCACACACAGGCTGCTCTCATATCTGTCTTGCCATCACCTCAGCCACGTCTACGTTGCCCAGATAGGCTTGGGAACCACCATGGGAGGGTCAAGTATCAGAGTGGAAACCCTCTAGCCTATCCCACCCCCAGATTTCATGTCAGAGGTTTAGCTCTTCCTTTCCTTCTGTTTGCCCACCTTTAAATTCTCCCTCCCCTTCTCCACTCACAAGCTGTCAAGGGGACATGTGGGAGGATTCCAGAGAACCAGAAGTCCAGAGGCTTTGGGTGTGTGGGGGGGTCCCAGGGCCTTCAGGTTCCTCTGCCACAAGACTCCTGAGGGTCCCCTCCCCTAGCCACTCTATATTCAGATGATCATCTGATAAGCAACAATGTCCAGGCCTAGGCTCAGTGACAGATCCGCTCTGTCATCTCCTTCTGTAGAGACACAAAGTTGGGGGGTGGGGGTGGGGGAAGTGTCAGTCAGAGTTCAACCTGCCAGGAGCCCCTTCCCAAACCATAGGGATCTTCTGCCCAAACCTGGCCCTTCCTGCCCCCCCCACCCCAACTCCAGGGTGCAGATCTGGGTTTGTAAACTGACGATTGAATGAATTCTCTATTAAGGTACAAAGTCGCTTTTAAATGAATTGCCTTTCCCTAATTTATCCACCTGAATGTTGCATTTTCTTAAAGCAGGTAGCCTTTGGATCCGAAAACTCAGAGGCCGGCCCTGGTGGGGGAGGGCAGATTGTAGGGGATTGGCCTCACCAGTGGCTCCAGCTCCCGCTGGTCCACCAGGCTGAACTCGCGGATGAAGTAGTAGAAGTGCTTGTAGCAGGTGTTGACGTGCGCCTCAGCCCCCATATTGAGGATGCTGTCGAAGTGGTGGATGTAGACATGGACAAAGACGCGGAAGAGGCGGGTCAGGATCTTGGTGCAGACCTGCTGGAAGTTCTTGGGAAAGGGAACACCTAGGGGGCCAGTGATGGGTAGAAGTGCGAGGGAGGGTTCAGGATCCTGGCAGGAAACTCTGCCCAGCCCTGCCCTCCCACATACAGGCAGGCTTTGCCTAGGATGGCCTCTTCCCCAGCACACTCTGTCTCCCTGTGGAAGACAGAGAGAGATTGTGATTTGCTTCCCTCTAATACTTCCCTTTTTAATAAAGCACAAATCTGATTTTGCCTCTTTTCTGCTGAAATACAAACCCTCTTCCCCTTTTTTCCACGACTCTAAACCTTGTTGGGGGTCCCTGACCAACACTTCTTAGAGCATCATGAAGGCAAGAAATGTCTTCATGACATTTCTCCCCAGAAACATTCATCTGCAGGTGCCCTCACATAACAGCCTTGGATACAGTTCCAAGGGGAGTCCATCAACATCTGGGCTCCATGTTTTTTTTAAAAACATGGGCCTCGGTGATTAAGCCCTAACTTCTCAGCATGGTGCCTGCTCAAGCCTTTTGGGGTCCTGGCCTCTCTCTCCAGCTTCACCCCAACTCCTTCCACTTGGCAACCTTCACAACTCAGTCCCCAGAACCCTAATCCTGAGAAATTTTAAATCTTCAACAACCAGTTCAGGTGTCTCTTACTCCTTCAAATATTCATCTGTGAGCCAGGCCCTGTGCTGGGCCCGTTGTACCTTTCGCCTGGTATGATAGCCACTCTAGACCTGGCAAAGTGGAGGTGCATAAAGGTGGAGCCACTTGCTCAAGATCACTTTACTATTAATTAGTACTGAGTGGAGGTAGGATTCAAACCCTCTCTGCACTATGCTGCAGCACCCCTCTGAGATAAATGCCACAGACCCTGCTCGAGAAAAGCTACAGGACCTTTGAGAAAGACAGTTTCGCACAGCTTCCCCCACGCTCCGGGTGGAGAGCTTGGTGACCAGGAGCATGGGGGAAGTATTCCCTCTTCTCTGCCATCCCGGAGGTAAGGCACAGATGTCTGGGGTTCACACAGGCCTGGGGGTTAAGGCTAGAAGGGAACAAGAGCCCAGACACAGGCCCACATTGGCCCACCCCACTCCATAGATTCCTTCCCCTTCCACACTGCTCTCAGGAAGGGTTGAGCCCTGCTTCTCCATCAGCCCCTCCAGGCCCAGCCCAGGTCCCCCAGACTTGTCCTGCCCCAAGAGACCTGAGCTGCAGTTCTGAATCCCTCCTGATTCAGGGAACTGTCCCTCTCTTGGCCTCAGAGTTCTCCTGTGTGAAATGAAGATAGCCATTGCTGGGCATGGTAGTGCAGGAAATGATAGGCCACTGGCTGCCGAGGGACCTTGAGCATTGAATTGTGACTCAGTGCTCAGCTCCCTCAGCATTCAGACTTCTCCCCTCTGGGCTTGACCGCCCTGCCCCACCCACCTGTGATTCCCAATGCTTTGACTGGGATGAACAAGAGGCCAGGTGGGGGTGGGGCTGCTGGGAGGAACAGTGTCATACCAACACGCCTTGATGCCCCTGAGTGGGGAAGCAGGGCCAGGGAGATATCACTCCTCTCCTCTGCCCACCCTCACCCGCCCAGGCTGCCCAGCTGAGATAAAAAAAGGCTCCAAGCCTTGGGTCTGACAAGGGAAAATTCTGCCCTCAGAGGCCTGAGGTGGAGATACCATCAGGCACACCCAATCCCCACCCTCTTCCCTTTCCGGGGACAGGAACTCCCAGAAGGCTGCGGGTCAGATCAGCCCAAGCAGGGTCACCTGCTAGGAGCACCTTGAGGCATCTCTTCTGGAAGGTTCTGAGAATCACAGTGGTCTTCCCTGGAGGGGCACTCAAGCTGTAGGTAAGAAGACTCCCGAACTGGGAATCAGGGAATCCGAGCTCACGATGCCTGATTTTGACCAGAGATGAGCCTCCCTGAGCCTGTTTCCTCCTCCACAGAATGGGATGAAAATTATACTATTCCAGTCTCACCTGCTTCCCGCCCCCCCCCCCCCGTTCAAATATCAAACCAAATGGCTTATCTGTGAAATGCGTTCCGGTGACTGTCTCCCTCCATGACTTGCCTGCCAGGTGGCACTCACCAACACGAGTGGGAAAGACGTCTTCATCATTGATGAGACCCTCGATCCAGTCCATGAGCAAAGCCATGTAACGCGGTGCAGAGAGCTTGGCTGGCCTCCGGTACTGGCGCTCGTCCTGCCAGCGGTACTCGTAACGGGGCCCACCGGCCATCACCGGGCAGCTGGTCTCACTACAGCGCTCAGCCATGGTGCCGTAGATGAGGTTGATGCGGTTGAAGAAGTCCACCACGTGCACGGCGATCCAGTCATCAATATTCTCTCCTGGTGGCAGCCTCACCACACTGCGCAGGTCCAGGCCGGACTTGAGCGATGCCTGTGCCTTCTTATACAGCTCAAAGCGCTGTGTGCCAGGCTCAAAGCGCTTCCTCGACCGGAATGTTTTGTCTTTGGCGAACACCTGCTTCAGGCACAGCGCCATGGCCAGACTGGGCCAAGGGACAGGCGTCCAGGGGAAGGACCTGAGGATGACCTGCAGGGCCATGGGCATGGGAGAGCATGGTGGTCAGGTCTCTACCAAATGTGCTTTGACTTCCCAACACATCACTTCCCTCTCACCTCTCAGCTTTTGGCCCACCTCTGCAGCCTCTGACTGGGTTCTAAATCCTTTCATCCCCTCCGACCAGCACCCCTGCCCTATTTCCAGGTTTCCCAATCTCCCCCTGTCAAGAACCACAGCCCTGCCATCTTATTGTTTCCTCTCCGCATTCACTGCGTCTCAAATAGGACTGGGCCTCAGCTCCAAAGAGGTGCTCCTCAGACCTGCTGTGGACTGGTAGAGGGGTGGCGGAGGCTTCCTGAAGGCTTACTAGCGGGCAGGGGCCTGGACGAGATGACCTCTGGAGGCCCCACAGGCCAGCTGGTGCAGTGTGGGAGAGCCTGGCTGCATTGTGCCAGGGGGCGGGCCAGCCTTTAGCTTCCTCTGGGATATCTCGTCCATCCGGCCACCGGGAATTCCCAGGGAGGAGGAGGGACTTTTCTACCAAAAATGTCCTTTCCTTTCATTACCCCGAAAGAGGAAAGGGACCTCATATGGCCATCTGCGTGGCCTGTGAGTGTGGCTGCAGGCACTGAAGGAGAGAGGGAGGTAGCAGGTCTAGAAGGACACCACTTCCTCCAACAGTGGCTGGAGGTGCTTCCCACAAGCCAGCCTCCTCCAGGCCAGACACCCTAATAAGCCACTGGCCTCTCCCTCTGCACCTGACACTTAGTAGGCATTCCTGGAACACCTACTATGTGCCTGGAACAGGGAGGTAGGAATGCAGTCAGATCCACCCAGCTGGGCCCATCTAGAATTCTAATGAATTTTCTTTGCCTTTTAGAATGGAAGGATCCCAGACTCAGAGCAGACTTTGGAGACAGCAAATCAGCCCCAAGCTTAGAGGCAGAATTCCTAGGTTCTAGACCCAGCACTACCATGGCTGAAGGAGGCACGCACTTGGTCCCTGTAACTTCCTGGGTCACTCTGATACAGGCCAGGTTTCTGGGACTCTCGGAGTAGGTTCTCATCTCCCCTGTGAGTGTGTGAGCTCTCGGGAAATGCAGACCCAGGTACCTGTTGAGGCTAGAATTTAGCCACAAATTGAGCACTGACCCTGACCCCAGACTGAGCACTGAGTGTATAACAAGTACTGAGCTCTGGCTCCAGGGTGAACTCTGACCTGGCCTTGACCCTGGTTAATGAGAGTGCTGGCTCTAGCCCTATACTGAGGCTTGAATATAGTCACAAACAAAGCCTGGCCTTGATCTCAGAACTGACATTGAAGCATTTTCCTTTCTCATGTCTCTAGTAATACTGGAACAGGATTGGGGAAGGGGGATGAAAACAAGGTGACAATTAGTTGTAACCAAAAGCACAGTACACATGGGATGAGATGTCACATCAGGCAATAAGTCATGCTAGTGGAGAAGTCGGAACAGGGGGTCTTCATTGTACCCACAATAGGTGGGTCAGGAGGGGGACAGTCAAGTAAAATGAGAGGAACTTGGAGAGTAGGGATAGGTCTCCCAGGAGGATCTTATCTTCTTGAAGAAAAAAAAATCCTCAAAGATATGACAGGTCATCTCATCCATCTCCTGCCCCTCTCTCTGCATCCATCTCTCTTGCAAAGAAGTCCCCAGTGTAGAACCTGAGCTTCCTGACCTAAGAGGAGGTAACTTCCATACTTCACTTGGCACCTGCATTCTAAACTCTCCTGGAAGCTGGTGCGTCCAAAATCTCTTACATTGCAATGAGTAGGGTTCCTGGGCTCTTCACCTTCCCCCAGCCCTGTTTACTGACAGTTATCAACAGACCCTCACCCTGGCATTCAACACCTTATCCTACCTTTCCTCCCCCACTTCCCTATATCAACTGCCCTGGGCTTCTTGACGACCCCTGAACACGCCACCCTCCCACCCGACTCCTGCCCCTGAGCTTTTTTTTATACTGGACCCTTTGCTTAGCTACACATGGTCAGGTTGAATGCTACGGCCTCCCACAACCCCCTCTACTAAACCCAGATCTCTTTCTCCTTGAGTGGAGGCTACCACTGCAGTCTCTACACCCTCTTCGCCCCCGATTCCCCCAGCCTAGGTCAGGGCCAGGCACACAGTTAATGCTTAGGTTTTAAGGAAAGCTTACAGTAGAGAATCTTAGGACTGAAATAGCCCTCAGAAATCAACTAGCCAATCCACTTCTTGTACACATAACAAGTTATAGGCGGAACTGGGAAGTGGAATAAGGTAGGGCTTAGCCAAAGACAAGAATAAAAGACAATTTTCTTGCACTGGCTGCACTAGCTGGTCCTTGGGCTGGTGGAGATAAGGGGAAAGGAGAGAAGTGGAGGGAGATGGGAAGCGTCTTTCCACCAATTAGACCAACCTAATTCCTGTTCCAACATGCTGAGCCTCCCCCACTGCCCCTACAGCAACTTGGGTGTCCTGACCAGTGAGCTAGAGTCTCACCTTCCTGCTGTAGAATTTCAGGGCTTAAGTCTTTTTCCCAGGAAAATGTAAGTCTTCGGGTGGGGGGATGGACAGGTGCCCTTCTATTCATGCCACTTGTTTCTCTTCACTGCCCACTCCCATGCCCTTCCTGAGTTTCTGCCCCTCACAGAACCTTTGCACCCTCCCTGAAACAAAGCTATTGACCCTTTTAGCCCGTTTCCTAACTCTGGGTGTCCTTTTACCCCTAAAGTGGTCAGTGACGGCTCACACCCTGACTGCGCGGCTGGGCTTCCCAAATGAAGTCCACAGAATGGCCCTTCTTGTTTCTGACACTTAGCCCCCTGCCAGGGCCACACCTGCAATTCCTCAAGCTGGCTCCAGTTTGAACCTAGAATCCAGCCTAGAGCTTGCAACATGTGTGTGAGGGTGGAAGGCGGATCCCAGCAGGGCAGAGATCCAAGAGTAAAATAGAGGTGAAGATTCTGTACTCTGCCCCGAGTCTGCACCGTGCCCGCAACACCCGGCCACCCATTCCCACCGTTCAGCTGTCATTTTCCACTACCCCTCTCCAGCCCAGCTGCCAGGACAGACGGGTCATAGGACCCAGAGGTGAAAACCTGACATTTCCGCTCCCGAAGACACGCCCCCTTCAAACACTAGCACCCCAACCTTGACTTTAGCTACTCGGAGCCTCGGACCCTAGGTCGAGGTCTGTAGCCAACCTGCCTTCGGGCAGAGGTGGCCCCAGGGCGCCACGCCAGGACAGCCGGAGAAATGAAAGTGGAAGCAAGCCTGGGTCGCGTTCGCTGGGGTGGGGAGGGGGACGCTCTGGGCGCGGCGCATACTCACGGGATCGGCCGAGGTGGGTTAGTGCGAGTAGTCCCTCGTTTGGCCGTGGGTCACATCCCCAACGCGCTGGGTCGCCTACTTTTGCTGGTCCTCCGTCTCTCCCGGTTCTCTCAACAGTCGGTCCGCCTGCCCTACCGGGCCGCGGTCGCCCTATCGCCCCCGAAGCGACGCCAGCTCCGCCCCGGCCCTCCCGGGCCCGCCACGCTGCGGCCGAGGGGCGGGGGAAGGGGCGGGGAGTGGGCGATCCCCCACCCCACCCCCTGCAGAGACACATTCACTGTCGTCGCCTTTCCGGAAAGTCCATATCGTGCTCCTAACTTCCCATTGGGCAAGCGACTTGTTGGCCCTTTCAGTGTCTGCTTGGCCTTCTGCCAAGGAGGCAGCCTCAGCTTTCCCCGCCGTAAAATGGGGACAAGCCCAGCCTCTGTCTGGAGCAGAAACAAAAGCGCTGCTAGATCGTGGTGGTTTTCTTGCTATCCCAGAATCACGCCTGTTTTCACTTGTGCCTGAGCTCAGTAAGGGACCAGTCTGCCCTATACATTTCCATATCCTCCGCTCTTGGTGTAGTGCCTGGCTCACAGCAGGCACTTAATAACCACTTGTTGAATAATGAATGAATGCTTTGGGACTCATGAGTGAGTCCCTCGCCCCAGCACTGAAAGGACTGATGCTGGAGAATGCTCAGATCACACACTGTCACCTCCCTCACAAGGGCTGGGGTCCTTGCTCAGATTGGACTGATTCTCCTCCCTCTTTACCTGAAGTCACCCCATTTCCAGCTGTTGCCATTTGGAATGTCTTCTTTCCCTCCTTCCTTTCAACTGAATCCAAACCCTTCAAGACCAGATCTGCTCTTCCCACTTTTCTACCCAGGTTCCTCCCCTGAGGGCAGACAGATATCTGATACCAGCAGGATCACACTGTGGAACCCAGGCCCAGGGACCAGGTGGCCATCATGGGCTGTGAGGGAAGGTTGGAGGCCTTCTAGAATGGGAGGACCAGACAACTGATTGGTTGCTGAAGTCACCCTGGTGGGGTGCAGGAGATGAGCAGGCAGGAGCAGGGGAGAGCTGGCGCTGGAGGAAGGTCTTTACTGCGGCACAGATGCTTACTGGGCTTCCACCTCTTGTGCCTGGATCTTCTGCTTGCTCTATGGCATGAGAACATGCTGCATCCTGAAGAATAGAGCTGAAGATTCTTTTTTTTGTTGAGCACCTATTTTTGCCTGGACCTAAAGTTCATTTGCTCCATCTCCTGCTGGGTTTCCTGCTGTGTGGGTCCTTAACTCTACCTCAAACCCCTGCATAAAGACGTGTGTGCTCTAGTATATGAAGAAGAGATTCAAATCTAGCCTTTCTTTTGTTTGATACCCTAATCAATCACCTTTATTAAGCACGACTCTGTACACTGAGAGCAGGGCATCAGGTGATGACGCTGCCCCAGTTGCTGACCTCAGCTGACAACAAGGAGGTCAGCAAGGTCAGCTGGTCAGCAAGGAGGACAACACACTGAGATAACACAAGGTCAGAGGCCAGTCATCCAGAAGTGAGAACATGGTGGGGAGCACTTCGTGAGAGTGGGTTAACTGCAGGAAACACGTGGAACACCCAAGCCGGGCACTTGGAGGAGAGTTTAAAGAAGGCACTCTTTAGAGGTGTAGTCAGTGTACAGGGAAACCACACAGACAGGGCACCGCCAGGGGCCTGGCCCTTCAGTGTTCGCTCTAGGCCGACGCTGTCACTCCTCACTGAAGGGGTGCTGGGAGGGAGTGCCGGAATGGGAGATGTGAGGAGGAGGCTTCTGACCGGAGCTGTGGCCTAAGCTCGAGGGCATATCCAGCCCGCAGCCCTCATACTGGAAAGAACTGGGAGTCTAAACGGGCCTTCCTGCCTTCTTTCCTCTGATTTCCAGCCAGGTGTCCCCCATTGGCCAACTCCTACGCTTGAAGCCAAGGACAGGGAACCTGTTGATTTGCCCACAGAAGTCAGCCTCCTGGGGCCTAGAGTCAGGTGGAGGAGGGTGGAGAGTGTATCTGGGGGCAATGGAAGGTAGTTGGTACGTGAACTCAGGGACTTTTACTCACAGAGGAAACAGAAACTGCTTTGTGCTTTTCTTCTTCAGTTCTAAATGTTTCATAATTTCATTGTCATTTCTTCTTTAACTCATGGATGATTTAGAAGTGTGCTTTTTAGTTTCTTATCCTATGGGAGGTTTATGTTTCTTGAGCTGACTTCTAATTATATTGCATTGTGGTTGGAGATCATGGTCTGTCAGATTCTTTGGAATGTGATGTGACTCCTTCTGTGGCTTTGTACATGGTTATTTGCTGTACCTCCAGCTGGGTTTATAGGATGGGCAGGAATTTGCCCGGTGAAGAGTGAAGGGTACAGAATCTTACATTGTGGGAAATATGGCTGATCCATTTAGAAAGAAGTTCGAAGGTTGCCAGCTCCCCTACAGAGCCGTGGTGTTTGCCCATTATTAGCTGACAGGTTGAAAGGTTGGGAGAAGCCAGAGAGAGCCCAGATCTCTCAAAAACCTGTACCCCCTTCCTGTGGCTCTCTGTCTAGGCTAGAGTTACCATGTTTTTACGGGAAACTCTGCTGGGGCTGAGAAGACCAGACCTTTGAGAACAAGGTCCTGGCTTTCCCATGTATTAGTTGTGTGACTTTGAATTCCTCCTGTCCTCCCTGATAGTATACTGTAACCATACAGCACCACGAGCTATACAGGACAGGCACTGTTCCTTGCCACTGTGTCCTGAGTATGACAAGTGGCTCAGATAAGGCCCTGTCTCTGAAGCTTGGTGGAAGCTACTGAGAACCTGGCTCCTGCACAGTCCAGGAACATGACTCTTCCATGAGAGTTCCAAGTGGCCCTGCTGTGTGTCTCTAGGAAAGCCTCTGCCCCCCTTTGGACCTCAACTTTTCCATCTGCACCGCAAAAGCATCTTCCAGCCAAACCATACTGAGTGCCTTATCAGGACCAGCTTCCTGCCCTTGCTTCTGTGGGCCTGTACCCAGTGACTCCACTGATACGGTATAGCCTCTCCCTGGGGACTTCCCAGCCTCTCCTAGGCCACAAAAATTTCCCCATCCCCACACTTCTCTCAGAATGAGCTACAGCACTCCCAGACCACCCTACCAAGTGTCTGGAAACTCCTGTAGCCTGATGGGGCCCACCTTCTCCTTAATCTCCCAAGAAAAAGTTTCTATTTCAGCTTCTGCCTTTTCCTGCCCAGAAGGCAGTATCTTTCATTCTGGTCTGTTAAGGAAAAAACAAAGAATGCCTTCATTGCAATAAGAGGAATTGAGGTTAGACTTCCTTTAGTTTGAAAGACAATGTTGAAAAGAATGTGCATTAAAATTGTGTGACCTTGGACAAGGCGTTTGTTCTCTCTGAGCCTATTTCCCCTTTTGTAAAATGGAAACAACAACAATACATGCTCCACAGAGGAGCCATGAGGATCAGCAAAAGGCTGTGGTCAGTCTTTTTGAGGGTGCTGCCTTCAAAAGCCAGCAGGCTTTTGTATAGGAGAGGTGTTGCACTGTCCCTGTGCTTCTGGAAGATAGGGGGCAGAGACCTAGGGCAACATGGGGGGACACAGGGTATATCAGGGCCATCCAACCACTTAGCCTGGATGGTTGCACTGACTTTGAGAGCTAGGGGTGGGGCGAATGTGAAAGCAAAGGTGGCCTAGCCCCACCTCTAGATGGGCTTCAGAGGGTTTCAGTCCCCCTGAAGAGCAGAAGGGCCCTCTGGACTCTGAGAACCTAGGACTCAAGTGTTCTGTGCTCCAAGGTCACTCTTCCCTCCCAGCTCCCTGCCCATGCCATGAATTGAAGGCATAGCCCTTACCTCTCCAGGTTTCAGGACTTCCGTCTTGGGAAGAGAACCTCTGGAGGCTATGGCAGAAGACTGCTGTGCATGTGGTTCACAGGATAGTTCATATCCTGGGGTTATGAAGGGGTTGCACCCCTTCCCCAACCTGACCTGTCCTACAACATAGCCCAGTGGGCATTGCCCCCTACCCAGATGCATGCCCTCCAACTGCTTCGTTTAGTTCCTAGCTCCGAGGTATCCCAGGAGTGGAGGTGATAGTTGGTGGTGGGGAGTAAGGAGTGAGGGGCAGCAGCAGTTTTACCAGTGTCCCAGGCTCAGCCTTCCATACCACCCGCCATGAAGCCTGAACAGGAAGTTCTGTCCAACCCCATCTCCTCGGCCACCTTGGTGCCTCGCTTTCAGCCTCTGGGATTGCCTGCCTGGAGCATGACCCCAGTTCAAACCCTCCTCCTAAGGAAACTTCTTCAGACTACCCCAGTCGCCAGGGCACTTCCTTTCCCTGCAGCATCCTTTCTCCAAGGGTTTGCAGAAACACCTGCCTTTGAGTCCCCAGTAGGGATGTTCCTTACAGAGGACCATCCGAGTCTGGGCAAACCTGGGGATCTGACCATTACAGGAAGCATTGGGACTAGAGGAACAAGTGAATGACACTATGGGCATGATATCAGCAAAATCCAGAATGACAAAAATTCTATAGGCAGATTTTTAACACATAAATGTCAAGAAAAAAAAAGAGATGAGGCAAAACCTATAAGTTAAAAGTGACTTAATATGGAATACTACTCAGCAGTGAAACCAACCAGCTATTAAGACTTGTAACAATTGCCCTGGCTGGTGTGGCTCAGTGGATTGAGTGCAGGCCTGTGAACTGAAAGGTCACCGGTTCGATTCCATGCCAGGGCACATGTCTGGGCTGTGGGCCAGGTCCCCGACTGAGGGCATGTGAGAGGCCTCCAATTGTTGTTTCTCTCCTACACTGATGTTTCTCTTCCTCCCTTTCTCCCTTCCTTCTTCTTTCTCTAAAAAATAAATAAATGAGAGGCAACCACACACTGATGTTTCTCTCCCTTTCTTTTTCTCTCCCCCTCACTCTAAAAAACAAAATGTAAAAAACTGGTGAAATCCATATAAATTCTGTTGTTTGAATTGTATTGTATTCATGTCAATTTGATAATTATACTATGGTTATATAAGATGTTAAGGGAACTGTATTATTTTTGCATCTTCTTTGTGTGCCTAAAATTATTTTCAAATAAAAGTTAAAAAAACTGACTTGCACAAATCTAGTTGTAAGGTGTAGACATGTTGTGGATCCTGATTTAGACAAATCAACTGTAAAAAATGAACGACATGGGACAGTTGGGGAAATTTGAATACAACTATGCATTTGATAATATCAAGGAATTATTGTTAA